TCCCTCCGTCCCTCCGTCCCTCCGTCCCTCCGTCCCTCCGTCCCTCCCTCCCTCCCTCCCTCCCTCCCTCCCTCCCTCTCTCTCTCCCTCCTCCCTCTCCCTCCTTCCCTCACCCCCCCCTCTCTCTCTCTCTACACACACACACACACACACACACACACACACACACAATTTCATTGACTTAAAAGCAACATCATAAGCCAATTCAGATGTGGTTGTGTACTTCCATAATTCTAGCACTGAAAGAGCCAAAGATAAAAAATGGAGAAGGGGTTCAAGCCCAGCCTTACGTATGTAAGATGCTACAGTAATCATATGCTGGATGAGGTGATGCACACCTTTACTCCAGGCACTGGGTAGAAAGAAGTATGTGGATCTCTGTGAGTCAAGGCAAGCCTAATCTACAGATTAAATTCTAGGTCAGTCAGGGCTATACAGAGAAACTATATCTCTAACACCCCTCACCCCCACAGAGAAGAAATAAAATAAAAAGTCTGCTGAGATTTTGATGGGAGTTGCTTGGAACCTATAATTTAATTTAAAGATTCTTCCTGCAACCTTGCCAATGTGTATTTGCTACTGGAATGTTATTCAGAAAGTCTTCATCCATGTCTATATTTCCTATTTTCTCCTTTAGTAGTATCAGAGTATCAGGCCGTATGTTGAGGTGTTTGATTCATATGAAATTGTGTTTTGTGCAACATGAAAGATAAAGATTGAATTCCACTTTTTTCTGCATTATAAAGTCCAGTTTCCCCAATGCCATTTATTAAAGATTTTGTCCTTTCAGTTCACATATGCTTTGCATCTTTGTAAATTCATCAAGTGCCTTTGGAAGTATGGACTTATAGCTGAGTCTTCAGTTCTATTCCATTTTTATCTGTCTGGTCTTGTGACAGTATAATGTTGTCTTTATTACTACATTTATTTTTCCTTTATTTTAATTATTTTATTACTATATTTATGTTATTACAGTAACAACTTGATTGTGAGTCAAAGGTTTTGTGGGTTAGTAGATAACCCCATTCCTCCATTGAAAGTCTTTTCTAGTTACAGGGATAGGCCTAGGTCTCCTACAGCTTGGTCTTTTTGTGGGTCCCCTAACAATTGAAGCAGAGACTGTTTCTGACTCTGCTGCTTGCCTTTAGATCCCTTTCCCCTAACAGGGCTGTGTTTTCTAGGCTGAATAGGAGAAGAGGCATGTAGTCCTACTTTATCTTAATATCCCAAGGCTAGTTGATATCCATAGGAGGCCTTCCCTTCTCTGAAGAGAGAAGAGACAGGAGAAATGGGGGAGGGGAGGGAGGAGAGAAGAATGCTGCAATTGGGATATAAAGTAAACAAATACATTAATAAAATACAATGTAATTTTAAAATAGGGGTGTATAAAACCAAGCAAAATTCTCAAAATTTTTAGGAAACATTTACAAAGTGTTCAAACATGTATCCATCATTTTGATTAACTAAATTTAATTACTCTAGTTATGATCCCACTTTACCCCAATCATAGTGACCATCATCAGTAATACAAACAATAGCAGATCCTGGCATGGATGTGACAAAACAGAGCTTTTATACACTGATGGTAAGAGTGTCAACTATTAAGGCCATTTTGAAGTCTGGAGTTTTGTCAAAGAACTAACATAGAACTACCATATGGCCTATATACATTACTCCCGAGCAAATGTTTAATTGGCTTTATAGACTACTACAGAGACACTCATACATCTATGTCCTTTAATACTATATTTATAATAGGTAGAAAGTGGAATCAACCTAGATGCCCATCAGCAGATGAACTGATATGAAAAATACAAAATAGAATAGTCAGCTATGAAGAAAATGAAACTATGAAAATAATGGCTAAGTATATGGAACAGCAAATAGTATACCAAGTTGGTTAACTCAGACACAGAAAAACAAAGTCTGTAATTTCTCTTTTGTGTGTAAATTCTAGCTTAAAATATTTTATCTTGTGCATTTAATTTGGAGCACATATGGAAGCCAGAAAAATAGAAAGGGGTCTTTTTTTGTGTGTGTGAGAACAACATGTTAATGCAGGAGAATAGTATATTACGGGTAACAGTGATAGAGGGATAGAAAAGATTAAGCAGGAAGGAGTTTGGGACTTTGAAATAAAATGGGTTGGATAGCTCACAAAAGGAAGATCATATAAGACATATGGAAGTCTGCTATTTCATAACTCAATTTTAAAATACTAAAAGGGTCATGTAAAATGAAAGAAGAGAAGGAATACTGGGGATAAAGGATTAAGTGTAGATGGAGGTAAGGATGGGAAAGTTGAGGGGGTTGTATGTGGATTAAATGAAACAGTTGAAATGGAATTACCCTACATGGTAGACACTGTCACTCTCAGTGTTATGAGTTATTAAATAAAAATTGCAGTACAAGGCACAGAATATCTCCCTGTATGTTAGAGAATCTTGAGCTGACTAGGAAACTTTCTCCCTGCTTACACAGAGACAGATAATGCTATGATGGTTGCTTAGAGATAAAATATATCAATGATCTTACCCAGTGCTGGAACTTGCATGCAGCAATACTGACTTTCCACACACGATGTACTTATTGGTGCAATAGTGGCACAACCATGATGGAGTAAAAACCGGCCTTCTGATTCAAGCCTGCTCCATAGGAGGAAATTTCTTTTTATTTTTACCAAGTTTTTGAAGTTATTTTTTATATTTTATTTTTCCTTTTACTGAAAGTAGATTCCCTTCTCACATAATATATCTTGTTTATGGTTTCTCCTCCCTCTACTTCTCCCAATACCTCCCCATCTCTCATCTCCTCTGGTTCCACTTGCTTTCTGTCTCTCATTAGAAAATAGCATGTCTCAAAGAGATAATAGTAAAATAAAATATAATAAGATAAAATAAAAATTATCATATTAAAGTTGGACAGGATACATCAACAGAAGGAAAAATGCCCAAGAAGAGGCACAAGAATCAGAGACCCATTCAATTGCATACTCAGGAATCCCATAACAACATTAAAATGGAAGCCATGATATATCTTTGCAGAGGACCTGCTGCAGAACTACACAGGCTCTGTGTATGCTGCTTCAATTTCTTTCTGGCCATGTGAGCTTTGCTTACATTTATTTAGCTGGCCTTGTTTTCTTAATATCTGTTATTCCCTCTGGCTCTCATACTCTTTCTGCCTTCACTTCCTAGGGAGGGGAAGCTACAATTGAGATGTAAAGTAAATTAATTAATTAAAACAAATACATGGTAGTCAATGTTTTAATAAACATTAGTTGGGCATATTACAAACATTTATTTGATGTTTATATAATGTAAAAGGATACATATGAACTAAATAATAATATAAAACATAGAAATATGTACAAATTTATTTTCAATGTATTATACCATTTGTATAAGTAATTTTTTCATAGAAAGAAAGAAAAAAGGAAGGAAGGAAGGAAGGATGGAAGGAAGGAAAGAAGGAAGGAAGGAAGGAAGAAAATGCCCTACATCTATGTCTAAGGGAGGCATTTTTTAAACTGAAGTTCCTTCACTTATGACTCTAAAGTGTGTCAAGTTGACATAAAATTAGCCAACACAATTGTTCTAGCATATCTTGTAGACAGATGCCATTATAGATAAAGAACTTATGGCTGGTTTAGTGTTTATGTTTCTCTTTTGATAGTGTAGAGAGTACCTTCCTGTAGCAAAGACTCTAGAACATATGGGTAAAGGTTCTATATAAGCATCTGCTCAACTTCTTGTTCAGTGAGCTGTGTATGTATTGTCTTCAGAAATGAGGCCTTGCTGTCAGTTTGAGGAGATCAACATGTATAGTCTGGGCAACAGTCTAAGTTATTTGTAGATTCCCATGGGATACCTTTAACCAACAACTCAATTAGACATAACTCAATCCTGTTACTGAAAGCTTCTTTTGGTGACAAAAGATGGCCATCTGGGCTCTTCCTCCCCCCCTTATTTGGTGGTATCATTTAGATAACCTTCATATATGCATATATTCATATAAGCTTCTATTGTATTAGGTTCTAGAGGCCTATGTATGGGGTCTCAAATGGCCCTCAGTTTTAGCTGTCTTTCCCCATATTTCCTCCTTCATCTCTCTCTTCACTCCCTCTCTCCACTCAATCCTCCTGTTCTAGTCTCTCCTCAACTTCCTCTATTCTTATCATTTTTAGATTTGTTCTTTTCACAATGTTCTAGACTTCCTGAAAGTTTTGTGCTCAATTTTTTTTTTAGATTTAATATTTTCATTGACCAAGGTATCCATTTCTTCAATGCCTGAGATTCTTTCTTCCATCTCTTGTATTCTGTTGGTGATGCTTGTCTCTTAAGTTCTTCTTTGAGTTCCTAATTTTTTTCATTTCCAGATTTTCCTCATTTTGGATTTTCTTTATTGACTTTATTTGTACTTTCAGGTCTTGAACTACCTTACTCATTTTCTTCCATTGTCTGTATTTTCACAGATTTCTTTAAGAGATTTATTCATTCACCCTTTAAGGACCTCTATACCATTCCTAAAGGCCATTTTAAAGTCTTTTTCTTGTGCTTTAGCTACATTGCAATACTCAAGGCCTTCCATGGTACAGTTGCTGGACTGTGGTAGAAACATATTGTCTTGACTTTTATTTATTACATTTTACAATAATTTGTAATTCCATGAAAGACTGTAATTCTAGGTGCTGATATCTGTTCTTGTTTGTGCTGGGTGGGTAGTTTGTTCTTTAGTTTCTATTTCCCTCTCTGATCCTTAG